CTCCTCTCCTTTACCTCTCTTCTCCTCTCTCCATTCCTCTCTCCCTCTCCCTCCCTCCCCCTTTCTTTTTCTCTCTCTTTCTTCTTTCTTTTCAAGACAGGATTTCTCTGTGTAAGTTCTGTTTAAGGCTGTCCTGGAACTTAGAATGTAGACCAGGCTGGCCTTGAACTCATAGATCCACATGCCTCTGCCTCCCCCTCCCTCCCCTTTTCTTTTTCTCTCTCTTTCTTCTTTCTTTTCAAGACAGGGTTTCTCTGTGTAAGCTCTGTGTAAGGCTGACCTGGAACTTACTATGTAGACCAGGCCGGCCTTGAACTCATAGATCCGCCTGCCTCTGCCTCCTGAGTGCTGGAATTAAAGGCCACCACACTTGGACTCTCTCTTCTTGAAATCAGGGACATGGGTTCACCCAGAACTGCACTGGTTAGAGTCCAGGCCCTGAATGATCCAACCAAGGGGGGGCGGAGGTTCCTGGACCTTGTGTCTCCCGGCTGTGTGTCTTGTTTTTCTCAGCCTCAGTTTCTTCATCTACAAAGTGAGTTCACATAAGAAAGTATTTTTAGCACATGCCTGGACAAGGCAAGGCTCAATGAAGCTTAACCATTATTAATATGGAGACACAGGGTCCTGAAGATGGAGGGGGATGGAGGGGGAATGCTGAGTGCCAGGCAGGGAAATCATATGCAAACCAAAGTACAGTGTGGCTGATCCTCACTGGCCTGGCCAGCCTTGGCTCGAACTGCTATCCTTACAGCAAGCCTTCTTCTGCGTCAGCTCATTAAATCTGTTTTCGTTGCTGTTCACCAAGGCCCTGACCCATACAAGCTGGAATTAATCCACAGAATGGCTTAGAGGAAGCTTTAGAATTGAGCTGTGTGGTCAGGGCTGCCGTGGATTACGGCTGCAATATCCGCTATCTGTCTGATCCTCCCGTTCCCGTTCCCAGACGGCACAGAGCACCCTCTGTCTCCCACTTGCTCTGTAAGTACTGGTGTGAGTCACATGTCAGCACAGCGTAACAGTTCAAACCCGGAATCCATCCATTCCTTTGTACAAAGTATCTCCTACACTCTAGCCGCCGATCCTCAGCGGGAGAGCTGGAGGACTAACACCCAGAGAATTCCCTACGGGAACCCTGCACAGCCCACACTGCTGGTGTTGGTTAGCAGTACAATGGCAGAGCTCCCTGAAGCACTGTCTGGTTCTTTGGGGGCAGGAAAAGGGCTCCGGGCTTAGGGGGTTGTGTGGGTATGGGAGCAGCAGAGACCTCACTGGGCTCCCTTCAGAACAGAAAGGTGACCTCTGCATGGCTCTTGGCTTGACATGTTCCTGGGAGACTCAGGGGTCAGTCATGTCCAGGATTGGTGTTTTCCTTGGTGCCCAGCACTTCTGGGGCTGTCCCAGCCACCTTGCTTCCTTGGTTTTCTTGTGAAAAGAAGGGTGGGTGGGCATCTGTTAGCTCAACACACCAAAGAAGAGTTGACACCTGCAAGAGATGGTTCTGGATAGTCAGAATCCCAGCTAGGAAAGTAACTCGCTGTGCGACCTTGGACATAATAGCTCTCAGTCTGTCCCTCGTGAGGTTTGGTGAGGATTCAGCATATAGGACTGAGTTTTCATAAGAGGTGGTAATTAGTATTATCCCTGCCTCAGTTTGCCTTCATTCCGCTCAGGACTGGCATCCTTCACCTCCTCCTGCAATTGCCACGGCACCAGTGGGAAGGAAATCCTTCCAGAACAGCAGTCAAGCCACAATGGCCCTGCATTGGGCTCCGTGAGAGACTTCACCAGTGCCCACAGCAAACTGTACCCTGAGGCCCAAGGACGTCTCGGTGCTCAGACCATGGGCTCCTAAAGTGCGGGAGATGCTTAGTATCTTGGCACAGGGCCTCATTCAAAAAGTGGATGAGTTTCATTATAGAAAAATGTAGAATAATGCGATCCTTTCATCCCTAAGACTGTGGCTTCCAGACACCTGCTCCATTCAGGAAAAAAGAAAGTTTTAAATTAAAAACCCTTTTTCTACAGTCCTTAATCACCACCTCCTTGAAGCTTACAGTGCAGAATGTCTCCAGTGAGGAAGTGCGTCAGGGTGGCAGGCGTAGTCTGAGGAGGGAGGCGGAGCACCTGAGGTGGCCAGGGCTCCTCTCTGACTGGGTTGACTGGGGATTGTCCAGACACAAGGATAGGTCGGTGAAATTTGGTCACGGTCTTGAAAATAGGCACATCCCTTACAGCGACAGGAAAAAACGCTTGTGTCAAATTGCCGAGTGAGGGCTGGCGATATGGCTCAGTGGGTAAAGGTGCTTGCCTCCAAGCCTGGCGACCCGAGTTCAATGCCCAGAATCTATGTAAGGTGGAAGGAGACAGCCACCTCCACACGTGGGCCACGGTACTGGTGTGCATACACACAATAATAATATCTTCAAAGTTGAGAGAAGAAAAACAAAATATAAGTTCATCTGTGCTAATGGCCCCCGTACAGATACAGTGATAACTGATCACAACTTCGTGACTATACTAAAGGCCACTGCATTTTAAAAGGATGAAATTTGAAGTCTGTGGATTGTTCATCTCAATAGAGAGTTAGGTAGAAATTTAACATTTAACAAGGAGTAGCTTATACCAAGAACCTCCTGC